TTGTCATGACACGTGACAGGAAACTTTTCAAGGTCATCATGTCATCGTGACGTCATCCAGGCGCCATTTTGTGTAATCACATTATCCATCATATCTTCATGATGCGTACTCAAAGTTCATTCATATTCATATCATATATACTTCAGGTCAAGGGTCAACAGGTCATGTCATCAAAGGTCACATAAAGGTCATGACGCGCGCGTATGTGCGCGTCAAAATTTAAAATTGCTCAAAATCACTTAACTACTAAAGGAGAGTACGAATCAGGTCATTTTAAGCATTTCAAAATTTTCCGTCCGTACGTGTCCCCGCGCGCGTTGTGCGCGCTCACAGCGCGCGGAAAAGGTCAAATTCAAAATGTTTACATGATTTGGATTCCTCTTAACGTAATTGACAATTTACATTAATTTCAGTCACTCGTCATATTTCATAAGGCCGTGAGCGTGCGTCAAAGTTCAAAATCCGCGCGTACTGCTATGGGCAATATAGTGCAAATTTGATCAAAAACATGCCATTTTAAAAATCGAAATAGCTCTTCAGATAGTCCATTGACCCCCAATTTTTATATCATGGTTGGAGAAAGCATGAGTTGGAGATATGATTTCATACCACCTTGACTCGTACAAAGTGAAATAAAGTCATCATATTGGCATCTAAACTCAAACAAATGTATTTTGTTGATGACGTCATTTTTGTCTTTGTTTATTTGAGATTATCTCACTTATCGGTCATCGATCTTCTCCCAGATTTTGATATGTTGTAGCTGAGATAATTCTCTATCAGAAATATGTCATTTATTTTTCATTTAGATGACGTCATCATACTGAAATATTCGATAAAAGGCGACAATGCATAATTTGTCATATTTGCGTGTTTTATCTATGGGAGGTCACTTTTTTCAAAACATGAATCTGCATGACAATGTGTTTTGACCAGTGTCTCGGTTGTTATTAAAAACAGTTTTCAACCAAATATTAGTATGTTGTAGCTGAGACTATATGCTATCTAAATATTTCCTCATTTTTTTAATCAGATGTCAGGATCATGCTCATACTTATCATCGTCATCATCATCATCATCAATATCATCATCATCATCATCATCATCAATGTCACCATCATCATCATCATCATGGTCTGAAGATGATCATGATCATTATCATCATCATTAACATTATCGTTTTTATCATCATATAACATTATCATTATCATCATCATCATCATCACCTTTACTATCATAATCATCAGGGGAGTAAGGTCATCTTTTTTAGGTCAGCCATGGGCATTATTTTTTTTATTTTTTTATAATTAATTAAAAAAAAACCAAAGGGGGGGGGGGGGGGTAGGGGGGTTGCCTAAAAAAATACACACATAAAAATACCAAAGGGGGGGGGGGTTAAACCCCCCTCCCCTTCGTACGCGCCTGGTTGTAGATCAGAAGGAAGGTTATATTAATTTTACTTTTAGCTATGGACTCATGGTCCATTCTTTCTAATAAAAAGGAGGCATGTCTATTTTCCGAAGTTTGCGTGTATTCTCTACTGGAGGTGAATTTACCTGAAATATTCATTCTATATTCCAGTTTAGTTTGAGCAATATCTCGATTATTTTCGCTCAATTTTCTGCCAGTTTCGGATATGTTGTAGCTGAGAAAATTCTCTACACGAAAATGTGATTTGAGAATCCCATTTTCCCTTTACGTGTAATGTCTATGTGGAGCAGTGGCGTAATGAGCAAAAACATTTTTTTTTTTTTTTTTTTTTTTTTTTTTTGGCAGACAAAAAATCCTCACCATCCCCAATCTTACATGCAGGCCCCGCTGAACGTAGAGGTAGAGCGAAGTGTTAATTGGCGTGGGATCTAGGGGCAAAACCCCGGCAGGGGTCAAGGGTCAGAGTCCCCGGAAGCTCAGGGGGTATGGGCATTTAATTACAGTGAGATGAGCATATTTTGATACCTTATTCATAACACTGGCAGGTCACTAATTGGCGTGGGGTCCAGGGGGCTGAGCCCTCTGAAACTTAGTGATTTATGGCATTTTATAACTGTCATTGAGCTTTCAGGGGCCCGCTATAGGCCCCGCTTAAGGCCCCCTAGTGGGGTCAAGGGAGCGAACCCCCCGGAAACTCAGGGGTTTTAGACATTTAATTACGGTCAGATGAGCATATTTTGATACACTATTTGTGACACTGGCAGGTCACTAATTTGCGTGGGGTCCAAGGAGCGTAGCCCCCGAAAACTCAGGGGTTTTAGACCATACATTACTATCAGATATGTATCCAGGGGCCTGACTTAGGACCATTGGCTGGGTCCAGGGGGCAGAGCCCTTGGAAGCTCAAAGGTTTTAGGCGTTTAATTACGGTCAGAAGAGCATATTTTGATACCTTCTTTGTGACACTGGCAGGACAGTAATGGCTTGGGGTCCAGGGGGCGGAGCCCCCAGAAGCTCAGGGGTTTTAGGCATTTTATAACGGTCAGATGTGTATCCAGGGGCCTGACTTAGGACCATTGGCTGGGTCCAGGGGGCAGAGCCCTTGGAAGCTCAAAGGTTTTAGGTATTTATTCACGGTCAGATGATCATATTTTGATAACATAATTGTGACACTGGCAGGTCACTAATAGGCGTGGGGTCCAGAGGGTGGAGCCCCCAGAAACTCAGGGGTTTTAGGCAATAATAATAGATCACATTTATCACGCGCCTAATACATTGTTTCTAGGAGCAGTGGTGCCGTTGTCCCAGCAGCCATTAAGTGAAGCAATATCCATACACGAAATAAAGCCTGGACGACAGCACCACAAGCACACAATATTATTCAGTACACAATTACAGTTCATTCGGTGTGGCAGAAGGGTTTGTGGAAGGCGATGGTATGTTTTGGCTATCCTAGCAAGCTGATACGACTGCTACAAGCACTGTACAAACGATCCCAGAGTGCGGTCAGAGTAAATGGAGAACTGACAGAGTGGTTCAAGACAACCGTTGGAGTCAGGCAGGGGTGTGCCATCTCCCCACAACTTTTCAACATACTCCTCGAGCTAGTAATGATCATGGTAATGGACGAAGTCCAAATAGGAGCTAAAATCCAAGGAACCTGCATAAACAATCTACGTTTTGCAGACGACATCGTCCTAATAGCAGAGACACCAGAGGAACTGCAGACACTTGTGGACAAAGTCTACAAAGCAAGCTGTGACCTTGGACTCATTAAAAGAGCTATTAAAAGAGCACTAATATAGCACATCGACACGGTTTTGATCCTGGGGCCTCATAGTTACGAGGCCATTGCTTTGCCACTGAACCATGACTGTACGCAGTGGGGGCTAGGGTAGGGGGCAGTTTCCACACATAAAAAAAAAAATGCAATAAATTTTTAAAAATTCATTGCATTTTACCCCAGTCCCCACAATAAACAAATCCTCTGTGTGCTCCCATAATCCGATCACCACACAGCAACCTTTCTTATATTTGCAAAATGAACTTTGATACTTTTACCGAAATAAGGGACGAAATATTTGTCTTTTTCCAATGTATTTGCTTGAAACTGTGAACTAGTAGTCGAGTTTGTTTGAAATTTGCATGTCATCAAGTAGAAATTGGGTATTGGGTATTGGGTAACTGATGAATACAAAATGCAAGATATTTTTTGAACGGAATTTGTTACAAGAAAAAGAAAACAAATTGAGAAAATTTAATTTTAAAGTGTTGTATAACTTACTGCCATGTGAAAATAAATGTATGCAAATGGAGAATGAGTGAAGATGCAAACTGCAATACTTGTTAGGTAGATGAAGATATGATACATGCCTTGTGACGTGTAAATTAAATAAAACCTTTTGGGCATATTTTACCTGGTTGATTAAAACAGTTTTTCACAAGCATGTTGTCATCAATATTAATCTTTTGATTAAAAATAGCGAACATAACGAAATAGATGATTTTATTACCATAGCTTTTGGGACAGTTTATAAATCGATTTTATTACAAAAATTATGAGGGTGTTGATAATAGAGAATCCAGTTTGAGTTTTTTTTATTTGCTTCTGAACTACGAAAGAGACTAGAAGTTAACAGGAAATGTACCATTAACCTTTGTTTAGACTTCCTAATGTATTATCTGATTTTGTTTGATTTTTTGATATGAATGTGAAATGAAAGTTCTCAGATTATGAATAAATGCTGTTGACAGAAGAAAAAATAGCTTTTAAATATATAATGATCTATAGAAATAGACGTGAAATCATACCAAATGTAAAAAAAAAATCCACTTTGAGTAGTTCTATTCCACTAAAACGTCCGCTATGTCGTTATTGCAAAAATGAAAATTGGTGAAACCTCTATACTCTATGTCGTACGACAAAGGACACACTTAGATAAATCTTGAAACACATATTAAGCAGTTTCCTTCTGACTGAAAATAATTTCACTGGATTGTTTTGTACGTATTTCTGAAAAAATTTCAACAAAAATCAATTTAAGGTGACTCTAACAAATATTCAGACCGATGTCTTTGTCCACTGTTGCTTGCTTGAAGTAGACTCAGACCGAGTTTAACCCTGGTTTAACATTCGTGTCATGATAATTAAAGACGGGTATATGATGTGTATGTTTTATTTGGTGAAATGTTACTGTTCATTAAATTATCCTCTCGCAAGATCTTTTTTTTTCTTTGTTTTTCTTTTTTTTCTCTTTTACATTCTCAGATGAGACTTGTCCGTCAGACTGGGATTACTTCCGACGATCTTGCTACAAACTTTTTATCAGCTCTGACGTCATAACATGGAACGAGGCAGAGGCCGAATGTCAAACCATAGATAGCGCACATCTGATCAGTATTCATGATAAAGATGAGATGACGATGTTACATTACATGATATCAACTCAGTGGGAGACTACAAAAACAAAGACTTATATAGGCAAGTCGGGGAATATTACAAGTTTGTTGAGCAGTGCCCATTTTTATACAAAACACTTTGTTACTATGACTTACTTGACTTACTTGACTTATGCCGTCCACGCAGGCCAAGGGCTTCGTAAAGGCTTCTGTATGGTGATGGTATGCCAAGTCTTTCTGTCTGCAGCCAATCTTGATGCATCTGTCAGCCTTGATATGGATCTTGCTTTGCAGTCCTCTGAGATGCAGTCAAGCCATCTTTTGGGTGGACGGCCTCTGGGTCGATTTCCTGCGACGTTTCCTTCAACAGCAATTTTGGGGTATCTTGTGGGTTTCATTCGTAGGACGTGACCAAAATATTTGAGTCTTTTAGTCGAGACTTTGTCCATGACATCTTGTTCGAGGTTGAGGGATTCTTTGATGTGCGTGTTTCGGAGCTTGTCTAGTCTTGTCACCCTCATTATGCGACGGAGGCATGCCATTTCAAATACTTGAAGACTGTTGCTATCTGCCCCATACAGGATAGGTGTTTGGTACGGTTGCATCTCTGTGTGGCTACTGATGCTTTTTGATGTCCAGATGTTGTTTAATCTTTGGAAAGCTGCCCCTGCTGTCTTGATACGGTTTTTGATGTCACTTGAACTTGAGCCGTTTTCAGCTATCCCCCCCCCCCCACGGTACACAAAATCTTCCACCTGTTTCAGTCTGTCGTTGGCTATGTCAATGTTATAGTTGCAATTTCTTTTGCTGATAACTTGCACTTCTGTCTCGGCTATGTTTACCTTGCGTCAAAGGTCACAGCTTGCCTTGTAGACTTTGTCCACAAATGTCTGCAGTTCCTCTGGTGTCTCTGCTATTAGGACGATGTCGTCTGAAAAACGTAGATTGTTTATGCAGGTTCCTTGGATTTTAGCTCCTATTTGGACTTCGTCCATTGCCATGATCATTACTAGCTCGAGGAGTATGTTGAAAAGTTGTGGGGAGATGGCTCACCCCTGCCTGACTCCAACGGTTGTCTTGAACCACTCTGTCAGCTCTCCATTTACTCTGACCGCACTCCGGGATTGTTCGTACAGTGCTTGTAGCAGTCGTATCAGCTTGCTAGGATAGCCAAAACATCCCATCGCCTTCCACAGACCCTTCTGCCATACCGAATCAAAAGTCTTCTGAAAGTCGATATAGCAGCAGTACAGGCTTCTATTCTTTTCCAGGTATTTTTCAGATATTTGTCTGAGGGTGAATATTTGGTCCGTCGTAGCCCTGCCTGGTCTGCATCCTGCCTAGGATTCAGAGAGGATTTCTTCTGTTCTTTTGAGAATTCGCCTTTGTAGGATTATGGTCAGTACTTTTCCTGCATGGGACAGCAGACTGATACCTCTGTAGTTCCCGCAGTCTAGTTTATCTTTCTACTTGTATATTGGGGTTATTACTGCTCTTCTCCATTCCTCCGGGAATTTCTCAGATTCCCATATTTGGTTACAGAGATAGTGAAAATGTATGTTCCTGTTTCTCCAGCTGCTTTGATTTCCTCGGAAGTGACTGTATCAAATCCTGGTGCCTTATCTTCACTGAGTTTTTGTATTGCACTTTTAATTTCTTCCTTCAGTATGTTTCGCTCTGGGTTATCTGAAGAGCTGTTGGGTAGACTGTTTGCTAGTGTGTCGTTTTTGGGGTTGTGTTCATTATATAGTTCGTTGTAGTTTTTCTTTTCATCTCTTCTTTACTTCTGATTGATCTGTTAAAGTTCTTCCTGTCTTACTCTTAACTGATTGCATTATCTTTGATGTTGATTTGGTGATTTTCTTAATTGTTGCATAAACCTCCTTTGATTTAGCAGCTTGATGTGCGTTTTCTACTCTACTGCAAAGGTATTTGAGCCACGCTTCTTTACAGCCCCTAGTCTTCCTCTTTATCTCTCTGTTCAAAAAGTTGTACCTTGGTTTCAGTGAAGGGTCATTTTGTTTGGCTTGTTTGATTTTGCTGCGTTCTTCGCTGAGATCTAGCACTTCTTGTGAGATCCATGCTTCCTGCGGTCTACTCTTTTTCATTCCCAGAACATCCTTTGCTGTGGTGTTAAATGCTTGCTTAATCTTTTCCCAGATGCTATCTATGTCTAGGTTGGTATCAGGGTGATCAAGCAGAGGTCTGAACTTCCCTCCAATTATGTGTCGGTAGATTTTTGATGTAGTTTCATCTTTCAGTTTTGACACATCACATCTCTTCATTTTGTTCTGTTTGGGTTTAGTTTTGAATCGTAGCTTGAAATTGCAGATAACCAGTTGGTGATCTGAGGCCACATCAGCACTTGGAAAAATTCTAGCGCATTGTACGCTTGATTTCGATTTGTTGTTCACCATGATATAGTCTATCTTGTTTTTGGTCCTCCCATCTGGCGACTCCCATGTCCATTCACGACTTACCTTCTTCTGCTTGAACATGGTATTTGCGATAGCTAGATTGTTGGCCATGCAAAAGTTTAAAGCTTATCTGCCATAGTTTACAGGATGGATTACCCCGCCCTGCAAGGTCACTGGACAGGTGGTTATCTTATCAACTCAGCTCTCAGTTAACATAAGAAAAAGTGGATCATGGGGGACCATTGATCACCGATTAGGCATTGTTGTTATATAGAGGGCGCAAGTAGCTACAAGTAGTGCAGTGGGCATTTAAAAGCTTTTCTCTTCTGTTGTTGATTTCTCCATATCCATGATGTCCTATGACGTTCTTCCAGGTGTCCCAATCTCTCCCTACTTTTGCGTTTAGATCATCTTGCACTATCAATATGTCGTTGTTAGGAGTGTCGTCTTTTGTTTGTTGGAGCTGGTCATAAAATGTGTCTATCATTTCCTCTCTGTCTGCCGTGTTTGGTGCATACACCTGGATTATTGTTAAGGCTCCAGCCTGTGTTTGGAATCTGGCTGATATCAGTCTGGGGGATATGGTGTTATATCCCAAGAGTGCTTGTTGTGCTTGTTTGTTGGGGATCAGAGCAACCCCTCTCCTGTGTACATCTTCCTCGCTAGCACACAGTACTTTGTATCCTCCTTCAGTTAAATCTCCTGATTCTTTCCAGTGGGTCTCTGAGACTCCAATAACCTCCCACTTGAATGTCTAGTTTTCTATCTTGGTTTATAGCACGCACATTCCATGTGTCAATACCTACAGTTTGTTTGTTGTTAGTAGAGCCGTTCTTTCTTTTGAGTTATCAACATAATCTCTTCCAACAGGGTTTGGAGATGATGCATCATCATGCACTGCAGTTTGCAGGCCCGTCGGTCGAAATGGCTGGTTAGTGTTATCAGAGGCTTTTCAGGTACTGTGTCCCATTTGCAGGCCAAAAAATGAAAAAAATGAAATTCCAACTGCATTTGAAAGATAATACTAATTCAGAACTTCCCTAAAAAAGGTGGGGCTTGAAAATGTCTTCAAGTGGGAAAATAACGACTATTATTTGTCAAATCGACTTTAGGGCTATAGAGCCCAAAAGTAATAGTCTTGATTTTCAGACAATTGTACCGAATGTTCATACGTTTTATGCTGCGCAAAGATTCAATCAGTTTAATCTTGGCCATCACAAGAAGTGGGTTATTGATGTAGACAAATGCTCATGTACCCTTTACAACTCTTTTCATGTATGTTATTACCAAAGAAGAAAAAAGCCAGCCCGTCACTCAGTAGTGTCTGACAGTGAAGTCTAGCAAGTAAACGGGTTTCCTTGTATAATTTGAATATGAGGACACTGCTAACGTTTAAATTTCACAGATGGGACATACATGACATATTCATAATTCCTGCAAACTTTTACAGAATTTGAGGTTGGCTGCAAAAGGGACATAGTACCTTTAACTCTGGTGCTATTTAGGCTTTGCATCATTCATACAGTTTCGCTCATTTGGTTACACTAGGCGGATGAGACACTCCTCTCCTAGCCACCCTGGTCTGTCCGCCACCAACTGGACAAGTCAGATGGCTCACAACCCCTACCAGCTTGAAGGTAGACCAGGACGTTTACCTTGATCCTCACAAGTTGGTCCTTCCCTCACACTGCATGTGTAAAAGGGTCTCCCCGTTGTGCTCCATAATAAAATGGGAGGGTCAATATTTATAGGGGATCGATGTTACTATGCCATGCCATAATCAATACCCATGTAATCTTGCGAAGATATAATCATATTTCCCTCTCCATTACTTCATGATGTAGGTCTAGGACATAGGAACCAAAGAGGAGTATTTGTATGGACAGACGGAACACCCATGTCATATACTGATTGGTTTTTTCCTACAAAGTAAGTGCTCAGTCTCCGTGAATCTTAAAAAGAATAAGTAGACTAAGTCATGAATTCTGCTGCAGTGTCGAGAAACGCATTTGATTAATCAGCTATAAATAAAAACCCACATTTAAAAAGGAGCGGAACGCACTAATATAAAGTTCACCTCTTTTTTCCTAGAAGTGCAATAGGATCATTTTCATAATGAAGTTTCTGTTCCTCATTTTTATGTTAATGCCATGTATAAATCATGAAAAGTTTTATAAATTTTATCTGATATAACGATGCACTTGGAAAAAGCTAACATTCCCAGGCAAAGAAATGATGTTTCATAAGGAATGAAGTTGAACCCTTTTGAGGTTTGACCGTACACTAACGCACACCATCCAACACGCACCTCACATCCATAAACCCACACACACCCGCACACACGCACACACACACACAAACCCCCACACACACACACACACACACACACACCCACGCACACACCATTCCCACAAATTTCTCCATTGCAATATCAATCGAAAGATTATGTGTACCTTATATAGTCAGGTGGCTAAGTGAAATTATCGTTACCTGCCGGATAAAAGCGCCATTTTTGGTCCAGGGCTTCCTTAGGACCTACTAAACAATATTAGGGTAGGAGCCCCCCGCAAAAATGTCATATAAGGGTGTGGGGGCGGGGGCGTCGTACAAGAGCCCCCAAATAGTATATAAGGTAAAATAACATTGATTTGTGGTAGTACATGTGTAATGTTTGGTGCAGGGCTTCCTCATGACCTCCTGAACAATATTAGGTTAGGAAGTTCCGACAAAAATTTCAAATGAGGGTGTGGGAGGCGGGGGCGTCGTCCTGGAGCCCCTAAATGATATACAACATAAAATAACATTGATTTGTAGTTTTGCAAATGCCATATTTGGTACAGGGCTTCCTTAGGACCCACTGAACGATGTTAGGGTTGGAGCCCCCGAATTAAATATTCTTAAAGGTGTAATTTAGGGGCAGGGGCGTTGTATTGCAGCCCCCAAATAATTAAAAAACCGTAATATAAACTTGAATTCTGTGTTGTACAAACGCAATTGTTGGTACATGCATTCATTACGACCTTCTGAACGATATTAGAGTAGGAAACACAGGCATGCTATTCATATAAGTGAGATTTTCGAGCGGGGGCGCCGTACTAGAGCCCCCAAATTAAAACAATATGGTTAAATATGTTTTGTTTGTATTTTGTATTTTTTTTTTAATCTGGTTACCACAATTATCAGTTGAAGCGTATCAGTCGAAATACAGTTAACTTAGAACATTCGTGGTGGAAGGAACAAATTATGTGTGAAGGGGGGGGGGGGGGTAGGGGCACGGGCACCAGTACATTTGGCTATAACACATGGCCACACTGCAAACATACATTGAAATCATTCATGCTGGATTTTGAGAAGTTAGGGCATAGTGTACATCACAAATGTGCCCTCATTACATTTATGTACTTAATGTAGAGAAAAGGGCTCACCCATATATTGTGAGATTTCATATCACTGACACGTACCTTCAGTAATCGAACCTCAGTCTATTTAGCACAGTTGCACTTGCAGAGTGGTGAACATCACCGTACACTTTCCAAGCCTGCCAGACTGACTTCTTTCCCTTGCCATGAAATGCTGATGTTATGTCGCAACCAGAATATAAGTGTAAGACAGGTAGGGCTTGTGACTTGACTCTCCCAAACTCTCACAAATGGCATTGATGTTAAGGTACCTGTATTTCTTCCCCATACCAAATGCCATCCAGATGTCAGTTAACTGTTGAGTCTTGAGGAGATCATAGAATTTGCCGACAAGGATGACTACAACATCAGTGTCTACTGTTCGCACAAGGACAGTCTTTGCTCCCTGCTCTAGTGCATGCAGAATATGAACCACAATCCTCGTGTCGGCTTCTTCGTGATTGCAGTTTCCCATGCCGATGCTAGATCTGACGGATGACACAGTTTCTCCTGATGTAACAAAACTCTCTTTGCCATGTGGCCAGTGGAACTCTTTCACTTTGGATGTAAGAAAGGCAAACAGTTCTTTCTTATTGATTGGGTCACGAAGAAAATCCATCCAATTGCCTGGAAGCTTGGTCTGGCCAGACACTTTCCTACGGACGCCAATTCCCCTCTTTTCACGGGTAGACTCTTTTTGGAATGTAAGTGTCCCACACAAGATCTAATCTCTTGGCAGTCTTCAGTTGCTTCTCGAGGTATGGAATGAAGACTTCGTTAGCGTATCCATCAATGTACTGGTGCCGATAACAGGCAGACAGTGGACGATGACAGCTCCATCGAAGATTTTACAGCAATATGCTGATGGCGGCTCTGGTTGGTCAGGCTGCTCAAGGCAGTGCAGCAGGTTAGACTTTGTACTTGGTAGATGAAGATTACCGAAGTCTAACAGAGAAGGAGGGAAGGACTGTATCTCGTGTGCGAAGAACTCGTCTAAGTCACTTTCACGGCTCTGCATAGCGAAGTAGAGTTGGCAAAATAGTGCTACATTGTTTTGAAGCACTTTGATCTTCTTGTCTTTCTTCTGAACTTTTTTGCCATGGGATTTTCTGAAGAGAGCCAGTGAATTTCTCTTGTCCTCGTGGATTGAGTGGGTGCGCTCATCAAGCACGGTCTTGACAAACTTTTGGTATTGTTTCCTTCCAGTCTCTTCCAGTGTGCGGACTGTGCTAACAGCGGCTGTGTCTGTGCATTTGCGACTTTCAAGCGTTACCAGATCATCAAACTCATCCAAAAATGGATTACCCATTTGCCTGATGGTTGCAGAAAGGGCATTGACTTTTCCATGTGGTATTGTATTCACAGTCTTAGGAAAGTTAAGATCCATGTGGATGCATGTTCTCACAGAAGACAGGGTTTAACGTAATATGTACATAAGCAAAATTTGCTGTGGCCTCCATGTGGTATTGTATTCTGTCTTAGGAAAGTTAAGATTGCCTAATTTATTATGTAAATATGTATGGCCTTGTTATAAAAACATTACAATTCTAGGAATTTCATGTTAGTTTCCAGATGCCGAAAGTAAATTGTGTTAACAATCAATGGGGCCGTATCAAAAAGATGAACTACAGGGGCGGGGTCATAGTCATACGAGCAGGAGGGGGGGGGGGGTGTTTTGGGGGTTTACTCCCCTCAATTTTGTCCCCTTTCTTTGCTCAAGGGGGGGGGGGGTTGAGTAAAAAAGAATCAATGCTCCAAAGTATGCAAAATATTCAGGTAAAAACAAATCAACGTGATTATGCATTGTATATGTGGGGGCTCCGGAACAACGCCCCTGCCCCCTTATAATTATGTGAATGTTTTGACGGGAGCTCCAGCCCTTACATCGTTCATAGGTCAAGGTCGAAAGGAAACGCTAATGGCGTTTTTACAATTAACACAACGTTTATTATACAGTATTTTTAATTTGGGGGCTCATGTACGACGCCCCCGCCCCCGCCCCTTATATGAATATTATGTTGGCGGCTCCAACCCTAACACCGTTCAGTTGGTCCTAAGGAAGCCCTGTTCCAAAAGTTGCATTTGTACAGCAACAAATCAACGTTTTTTTTAACCTTATGTATTATTTGGGGGCTCTAGGACGACGCCCCCGCCCCTCACGTAAACAATTGCCGGGAGTTTCTAACCTAATATTGGTTAGGAGGTCATAAGGAAGCCCTGTACCAAAAATTACACATGTGCTACAACAAATCAATGTTATTTCACCTTATATACTAGTTGGGGGCTCCGGGACAACGCCCCGCCCCCTTAAATGTAATTTTTGTCAGGGGCTCCTACCCTAATATCGTTTGGTAGGTCCTAAGGAAGCCCTGTACCAAAAATGGCGCTTTTATCCGGCAGGTAACGATAATCGATAAATTTGACGCTAAGCCACCTGACTAATAGTTATATTATTTGGAACAAGTTTACAAATGAATACTGCGTACACAATTAACTTTCGCAGCCAGCCATCCTTCACTTAATGAATATGAAAGTTATTATATCATGATCGGTTACAGGAATTAGACAGAGTAATATTCGATATTGGTTATTATGATGTATTAGAGACCTTGCAGTGTGACGCCTAACAGTGAATTGGGAAGCAGATCCCTTCCATTGCTACTACAAATAAGTGAACAGCAGTTTCGAATTTATTGAATTCTTTCAATAAACTTGATTACTGGATTTGCCTACACGAATCGGTTTTATTTAGTGAAGGGCGTAAGGAGGGACATAAACAACCCGATAGTGGAATGTCAGAAGCCTGTACAATGTTAGTCTATGATCCAGCCACATCGACCGATCTCTCTACCGATCTCTGGCACGATGTTGCCTGTGCTTCTCCAGAAACGACACAGTTTATTTGCAAAACTCCAGCGACAGGTAAAGACCAGCATCCTGACATGATATCATTACCTACATATCTACAGTTTCTGACGAAGGATCGGACATAAAATGTAGTCTTGCAAAGAAAAAGAGAGTAAAAGAATGAAGATCTGAAAATGCACCAACATAAGGATCGATGTTGAGAGCAGAAAGCAGTGAATTATAATGTCTTTTGTATCAAGGCTCATGGAGATTTAAACATACCATTACCTGTCAAATAGTAGCCCTCAACTTCCACAACAATAAATAGGCTTCAAGAAGGCGTTGCTTTGAAATTCTACGATTGGGGTTCGGGGGGGGGGGGTGGGATTCAGTTTTTGTAATGTGCCGACAAGGTGTGACAAATAAATTGTTTCATGACAGTTCGCCAAGAAACGTTCTAACAAGCCCCCAAAAGTTCAAAATATTTTACCAATTTTTTGTCACGGTATAAAATCCAAAGTGGCCGACTCTCGATTCTGAATGCCTAGAAAGATAACTTCCTACTACCTTCCAATGTCATAAAATCTTACTATTCCTCTGCCATGCATACATATATTTAACTGTATATTTTAGCTTTAGTACTTTTTACTCATATAAATCCTATTTAATTCAATTCGTACTTAAATATATAGGTTCACCACGGGACTCATCCGTTCATCTCTACAAACCAGGTAAACATCTGGTTCAACTTTTGGCACCGCATGCTCTGAATGGCTATATTATGACAACGTCTAGTGTGGGGGAGGAAGGGGGTGGTAGAAGTATTATTAACTGGTCTACTCGTCAAGACTGCCATACCTCTGCCTCTATCTGGCCGTTTCATTTCGGCTCTGTTCGGTCTTTGTTTGTCTGAGTGTCTCTCCACCTCTCTCTCTCTCTCTCTCTGTCTGTCTCTCCATCCTATATTACTGTGTGACTATAACGTATATATATATATGTGTGTATTAAACATTTTGTTTTCATGATTTAACTTCGTTAACTTCATGCACTTATGCCCTTGTCTGCAATGTTGATTTTCGAACAAATACCATTTCAATTTAATTCAATTTAGTTTCTCTTTACTCTATAATTTCCTTATTCCTTCAACCTTCATAAAATCTCTAATACATCCTTTATTCTCTAAACCATTCCCAGAAGAAGAAAAAATGTTCCTTACCTTTTCTGAGTTTCTAGATCCAATGGAGTCTTGTGGGCCAGGACTATTCCATTGTACCTCAGGGGAGTGCATACATGATGTGTTCCTATGTGATGCTGCCGTCGATTGCCAGGACTCAAGCGACGAAACCGATTGCAACGAAGGTATGTATCGCTTAAAAAACGCCTGATGATGTGACGTTCATTGCACATGTGTTTTTTTAGTGGAAGGATTGTGAGAATAATTGGATTGTTTCTGATACCTGAGCTTCAGCCTTCTGTCGTATTGCAGAATACAAGGGGAAAGTCGTATTTCAAAAGTTTAGGATTTTTTCAAACGCCCATTATTCCGAGGACACAAATCTCATATAGAAAGGGTTCATTACGACGAAAATGAAATAAGGTTATTCCGAATATTAAGAAAAATTTGGAAATATTAAAGCGTTGAAAGTGACTTGTAGCCGAATCAAAATCCTCACCCACCTATGTTTTTTTTCATGAGAATCAATATAATATATTTTTTTTCCTCATTCATTTACACTAGGTTGCGATGAGAACCAATTCGAGTGCAACGATGAGTCGTGTATATCGGTGTCGTTTGTGTGTGATACCATTCCTGATTGCAAGGACATTTCAGATGAAAATAATTGTGGTAAGTTCAGTCTCATGAAACCTGCCATATCATTAAAAAAAATAAATTTACCATTTCTTACGTTCAATAACAATGATAATAACAACAGCGTTAACAACAACATCAACAACAATAATGATAACAACAATAATAATATTAATAAACATAAAAACGATAATGATGCAAATGTAAGCTTATTGATATCTGTTATGGTCATATTTTTTTTTTGTCTACAGGGCGAGTTCAGGGGGGCGTTTCATAAAACAATTAGTCGGTGGTTTTCGCCGACTAATATCATGTTCACCGACAATTCTTTTGTCACCGACTATTTTCCAGGTCTGTGATTGTTCAAATTTAGTCAGCGCTGACTAAATTATTGGTGAACATGATATTAGTCGGTGAAAACCACCGACTAATTGTTTCATGAAACGCCCCTCAGGTATTTCTAAACTGTTGCATTATATAAACCCCTGTTAATATAAATATATATATATAGAGAGAGAGAGAGAGAGAAAAGCATCGTCATTTAATCATAATAATGTTGAATTTAAACAGTATTGTTAGGTTTAGTTTTTAAATTGACATTTCTTTCTCGCGTTGTTGTTGTTTTTGTTGTTTATTTGTTTGTCTTTAGGTTTAAGGTTTAGGTTTATTTCTTTATTTCTTCATTTTTGTTGCCTATTTTTGAGCGAAAGTCTTTAAATTTGCTATTATTATTATAAGATTATTCTTAGTTTCCCTTAAAATCATTTGTCGGTGTGTATATAGAGCTTAGCAATTCATTTTCTAAAATTGTAATCTTTAATCATATTGTATATGTATACTTAATCTAGGCCAACAGGGCCATTGGGGGGAAGCAGTTCTGTAACTGACATTTCTACGCTGTAAAACTCAAAATGAAGAAAAAAAGAATGAATAACTAATTCATTAAATAAGTTCTTGGGTGACTAAGTTAACACAACTAATATGCGGAAACGCCTACAAATCAAACTAGTAGCATGAAAAATGATTACCTGATCACGATATTGAATCTTACCTCGTACAGTTTATTCTCGATGTTCGGAGTCTGAGTTCACATGTGACAACGGACAATGTATAGATATCTTCAAGAGGTGTGACTTTGTTTCACACTGCTACGACTCTTCAGATGAAGGTGATTGTGGTAAGCAACAGTTTCATTTTTCTTTTTTGTTTCATTTCCCCGGTCTATTTCTCAAATAAATCTGTTTTAATTTTCTAACAAGTTTGTCGTATATTTGTTGTAAACGTATTTAGATAATTATGAAGTATTCGAATGACAGTTTCTTCCTCCTTTCTCTCACCCTCTGGCGCGCGCGCTCTCTCCTTCATTCCCTCACTCTTTCTCTCCCTCGCTCCCTCTATCTATCTATGTATGTCTGTCTGTCTGTCCGTCTCTCTCTCTCTCTCTCTCTCTCTCTCACTTTCTTCCTTTCCAACCCACTCCCTTTTTACCGTCGCTACAGACTCCACTCCTTGTTTTAGTTGTTTATCCGCTTATAGGATTCAAGTATTGAAACTTTTTAAAATAAAAATCAAATTATTTCTTCGTTTTACCTTAGTTCTTGAGCTATCTTCGTCAGCGTTCCAGTGTTTTGATGGGTCTTTGTTTCCGAACAAAGTTAGATGTGATGGCATGCTGGACTGTATCAGCAGGACTGATGAGGACGAAGACCCGTGTGGTAATATGAAAGAATATTTATTTGATAAAGGGTAATCTTTTAACTTTATGGCTATTTTTTTCTTTCTACTTGATTTTTATGAATTTTATTCCTTTTGTTAACAGATTTCTAAGGAGATTTAACAACCTAAAGGGCGCCAGTAGTAATGAAAGTTGCCTTTTCAAATGCTCTCTTGGGATGAAGAATATTATGACAACGCATGATTCTTTAGCAAAATACTGGTGTCGGGGTTTGTGATGATGTTCCTTTTTAGTTAATATATAGGCCTACCTTTTTTTCGAAAAGTGTTCGTGATACCATTGTTTCAAAATCACTCAATTTTCAGATTTTATTTATATACTTCTTTTAATTAACCCAGATTACAGGGTTAATCCAAATTTTGTCTGTAACTCGGACACTGAACTGGAGTGTGATAACGGCGCATGCGCACCACTGGATACAATCTGCATGTACGAACTCAATGAAGTTGGGTTACTTAATGGCTGCCGTGACGTCACAAATCTCAAAGAGTGTGGTAAGAAATACGATTTTCATTTTATAATTAAATACGAAGTTTTCCAAATTAACTTAAAGTTCATAACGATAATTGTGATGTTGATGTAAGCGAACGAGGTATTTCGAACAGCTTATAACTTTCCGAAACGGTCTGAATCTCTCTTGTGTATAATTCGATGTTATCTAAGTATCTAAATATGAAGTGATATTTTATCGTTATGTCTATCATGTGAATTCCTTGTATTCCTGGATTATTTGGCAATAAGAGAATAATGGTGCAACATATAACGATTGTCAAGTGTTATGCCAGTGTACTTATCCAACCATGTAGCAGATGTTCGGACAAAACTCTTTTCTGATTTTAAGATGCTCATATGGCTCCGGTTGTCTCATTTTTGCACGCTGGAACATTGCCAGCACAAACCACTGACCTCTACCTCCTGGACGGACATCGCCCATTCCCATTCACTATACGTTACGTACTAAACGGCTGTATTGTCTGACCTTTCATGAATATTCATGTTTTTGCTTACCTCGGGAAAATGTTTGCTTTTACTAAATGGAAAAATTACGGTGGGAGGGGGGGGGGGGGGTTGGATGAAACGGACATAGTGAACCAAGCAGAAGTGATCTATGATAATTCATGCTTCTTATCCCTTGTGTGCTTGACCTATAATCTTCAAATCGCTTGGCATACTTAGTCCAAAGTTCGACTTGTTTCACATGTGTATTATATAGGCAATGACGAGCTTGCAACCTATTTTGATCAAATTACGGTGGGTGAACTTTCAAAAGTAAATGGGACATGAGGGTTCAAATGAAAGAGCTAGTGATAACGTACGTCGGGGTGGATGTGCTTTTCGTTAAAAAAAAAAAAAAAAAGAATTTGTAACGATTTTTTTTTTTTTTTTTTTTTTTTTTTTTGGGGGGGGGGGTAAAATTCCATAGGCTAACATGTTAGGCTAAACGGAGCAATATGCATATAGTTCTAGGAATATCTTTCTCTGTAGCGAAATGTTCAAAGTATCGAACTAAACGAGAATATTAGTATTTGCAGGTATACTTTCTTTTAATATAATTGAATGTATACTGTTATATTTCCATTCCAGAGACTCACACATGTCCATCTTGGACATTGAAGTGTCCAGACTCGTACTGTATTCCTCTACGGTATCGATGCGATGGAAAGATGGACTGCCCTAAAGGAGAAGATGAACAAGATTGTGGTATGGCCTGATGGTCCTGTTTTATCATTATCAATATCATTACTATTCTTCTTCTTCTCATTATTACTATATTAATTATTATTATCTTAACTATTATCATTATTGTTAACATTATTATCATTATTATTAATATTATTATCATTATTGTTATCATTATTATCTTTAACATTATTGTTATCATCATTGGTAATATTATCATCATTATCAATATTGTTACCATTATTATTATTAATATAATTATCATTATTATTATGATTATTATTATAAGTATTATCAATTTTATCATTATTATATCATTATTATTATCTTTATCATTACTATAATTATTATCATTATTATAATCAATATTATTATCATTATTATTTGCAATATTTTTATCATTATCATTGTCATTATTGTTATCGTTATTATTATTATCATTATTATTATTATCATTATTATCATTATTGTTATCATTATTAATATCAATATTTTCATTATTGTATCATTTTTATTATTATTATAATTATTATCATTATTATTATCAATACTATTATCATTATATTTTTCAATATTATTATCATTATTATCATTATTATTATTATCATCATTATTTTTATCATTATTAATAGTATTAACATTGTTATAAATATAATGATCATTATTATTATTATTATTAATTATTATTATTATTATTATTATTATTATTATTATTATTGTCTGGCGTCATCTGTTTGTATTATTAATATGATTAATATTTCTATTATCAATATAAGTATTAGAAGTATTATGATTATTATTATTATTATATCCCTTGGAGGTGAAAAGCAAAACTAACCCTCCCGATAGAACTCAACATACAAAGGTGAAGACTCTCCTCTACACGGGCCCTCCCAGAGGTAGTGTTTATCCACTGTAACATCTTTTCATATCCAACACCTTATCAACATCTTTATAAATTCAGATAGGTATACTTGTTAAATAAAGTAATATGATTGACGATTTTGAATAATTGAGCAGTTATTACTTTTTAAGCTGTTTTTGTTTGCTTTTTTCCCACTGAAAGCACTTGTACTATCTTCTTTTGCTACCGTCCTTTCATTTTGTTTTATTCGCGAATGTGTTCGAGTAGATGCTCTTTATGGCAGGTTACGGGTTGTTGCAGTGGTAGTTATCCGCTTGTGGTACTGAATTAAGTTATCCACAGGCAGAATAAGGGGGGACTTTCCTGTAGACCGAAAAAAGAATCAAAATAATTAGCTTAACCAGAAGCGGAGGTTCTCGAGATCAAAGGATTAGGTATTATGGACCTTCTAACAACTAGTCAAGAATGCTCACGATATCAGAGGCCCAAGACCAAAAGTTCACGAATTCCTGGACCTAGTGGATCTCATATAGGCCTTAAAGTCTCCGACTTTTAATTTTCGTTTAGCTGAATGTTGCTTGTCATATACACAAACAGCAAGTGATGCTTTGATAGTCATTACATGAACTACAGTAATATTTGATGACTGATTAATATTTATTTTCCCTAGATACATTTGATTGCCCGGCTGGGTCATACCGTTGTCATGGCAACAAAATCTGCATCAGTCCTGATCATGTCTGTGATGACGTCATACACTGTCCTGATCAAGATGACGAGATGTTTTGTGGTAGGTGTGAAGATGATGTATTTACAAGCAATGGTAAACTTGGAAAATTATTCGACGAATTGGTTTCCTGATTATGGGTTTGTGATGTTATTCACTCACTATCATTTACTTTGAAATTTGTATATATTTTTGAATCTTGAATTTCCCTTTTATCCCGCAAGAAATGTATTGCATTTAACAAATTGAGACCACAATTTTTCTGATTTTAAATTTAAACATGTTCTTCATATCATTGCATGCATGCTAAACCATGTTTTTACCTTGAATATGACCAGGGGGTGTTTCATAAAGCTGTTAGTACAGTAACGCATGACTTTACGAACGACTTGTATATGAAGTACCAAATAGGATGCCCAAAGTTTTTTCTGATATTTTCAATAACCTCAATTAAATTATGGCCATAAATATACTTTGAATTAAAAATGTTTGTTATCATAAGAATTTTAATCTACATCTGCACAGTTCAACTTTAGTTGATGTATTTAATAATGACTGAGCACCCCATTTGGCTTTTCATATACAAGTTGTTCGTAAAGTCGTGCGTAACTTTACGAACAGCTTTGTGAAACACCCCCTGGGCTGATGGGGAATTTTTAGATTTTTTTTTAAAGCTTGCCAGCAGTCTGGTGATGGTTCTTGTATGGTAATACTGTAATGGGGTCTTTTGGCTGAGCCCATGTTAAATACGGGGTCGGCACGGGGGAACCGTGCCCCAACCTCCAACAAAAAGAAAAACATTCAAGATAAAGAAAGAGTGAGAGAGAGAGAAAGGGATTGTAGAGAGGTAACAAAGTTACCAATCCCTCTGACATATCCTCCCACTCTTCTACCTAACTGCCTTGCTCCCTCGCTTTTGATCGCCTATAGTTGAAAAGCCCATCCCTATATACATATTTAAAACAAAACTATAGCTGTGCTGCACGTTCGTTTAAATATTTTGGCTATCGGGTTTGGTCCGGGGAACTAGCAGGGTGCAATCGGGCTCCGTATACATGGTCAGTTCGGGATCGTCGTTTTTTGTCGGGCCTGTATCGGTTCGTGACATAGCAACATTTAAACAAAAAGATCGGTGTGTTTTGATGCTGAGTCGGTTTTGTCGGTGTGACATCAACATGTTGGTATTTACAGATATGTTTATGTTAATTGTTGGAAAACAATACAATCATGCGTATTCCATTCTATTCTTCGATCAACGCATTAATGATTGACAAGGGTTCTCTTTCAATCTTTCTCTCTCACCATGAATAGCTGGGTGCCCCGATGGATGCACCTGTACCGGACTTTCATATACCTGTCACGTTTATACCTTACGCATCACATCTCTGCCGAGGAATCTTAGAAAATTGTTCGTCACTTTGTACTGTATATTTGACAGTTTCCCATGAATGAAATTGTAGAAAGGGATGGATTATACATGATTCGTATGCATTATGAATCCAGAATCACATGCTTAAAATTTCAAAACTCGAGGTGTATACTATGCATGTATACCAGGTTTATCACAAAAATCAGTTTAATCGTTTATTAAAGCTATAGATGTTTGGTCAATTGAAGTTTCCAAACGAATGTAGACTATTTAAAAGAACCCCACGTATATGGGAAAATTAAACATCACTTTAAAAAGAGATATATATGTATCTTATATTCTTAATAAAGGTCGTTGAATTCAAATTTAAAAGGGATACTATCTTTTTTAATCTATTTGTAATATCTGTCTTAACAAAAGTTTGAGTCTTCCGTTCTTTTCTTGAAGATGAAACATCTTCCAACCCTGCATCGGTCGTGTATGCCATTTCTAGACACTTACATTCCCAACCTTGTGACAGAATCATTGCAATTATCATCGAAATCATTTAGGTCCCTTGGTTGTGAGAGCCAAATGCCATGTGGTACCAGAGATATCGTGAATGCCTTGGAAACAGATGCGAATGAGAATGGCACAATCGTACCATCTTTGCTACCTTACCTCGTTGAAGTGTAAGTGGATTTACACAGTAAATAATTTAATACTACTGCTGCTGGTGCTACTACCCCTCCTACTACTACTACTCCTCCTCCTCCTACTACTACTAATACTACTACTACTACAACAACTACAACTACAACAACAACAACTACTACTACTACTAATACTACTACTACTACTACTACTACTACTACTACTACTACTATTATTGATGCTGCTGCTACTACTACGGCTGCTTCTTCTACTACTACTACTACTACTTATAATAATACGACTACTACTACTACTTATACTAACACCACCACCACCACAACCTCTGCTGCTCAGTGGCGGATCCATGGGGGGGGGGGGCGGGGCGGGGGCGGGGGCGGGGGCCTGGGCCCCCTCCCCTGGCCAAAAAACACAGGTAACACACCTTTTTGGTTAAAATGTTGAGTTAAAAAAAAAAAAATAGCACTGTCCCACCCCCGCCCACCGTTGAGCAACAAGAACAACAATTAGTGTTGTCACTACCCACCTCCCCCCCCCCCCATTTCACGAATGGGCCCCCTCTCCGGTCCCTCCCTTTCCGCCGGCTGGATCTGCCCCTGCTGCCGCTACCACCATTTCCACCACTAGTACCATTACTACCAGCTAAGTAGTCATCCTGGACTTTGTAGCTCTTCAACACCTACATGTAAAACGACAGTTAAAAATGATGATGATGATGAAATAGATATCAACAAAACTGATAAACAAACATATACCCCTTTTCAACTATTTCTTCCAATTGAAACTTATTCATGAGTATTGCATTTTTCTTTGCTTTTACGATTTGATTGTTTGTGTTAAATATAAACATCATTTTCTTTATATTTTGTACAGTGCCCTTGAAAATTCAGGAGTTTCAGAGATTGAACACGGATCATTTTCAGAAAGTTCAAATATTTTGCACCTGTAAGTCTTACAGCATCATCTGCATACCTCTTCAAACTATACAAGAGAAAAAATAGTTATTTATATTTAAAAAAAAAAATGTTATATTTTATTCATTTTTTAGTAATATTGTTATTACTGTTATAACTCTGATGGCTCCAAAACTTAATACATAACGCAACTAATTTATTCAGTTCAAAAGTAACCGTCAATCCAATTCAATTAGAATAGAGCTCAGGGTAGCTGTCAATAACTTCATCATTTACTTAAAAATAACCCTTTTATGTTTGGAAACATCAAATTCGTGGAATATTTATAAAGTGGCGGTGTCGTGGTATAGTGGTTCGTTCACTTGACTCTCACTACAATGGTTGTGGGTTCGAATCCTAGTCTGGCACTAATGACTTGTGTTAAAACATTAATCCACATTTGCCACTCTCCAACCAGGTGTAATCGGGAACCTGACAATTGCTGGGGCAATTATAATTGCATGGCC